ATAGCCATCACATAGCCATCACATAGCCATCACATAGCCATCACATAACCATCACATAGCCATCACACAGCCATGACACAACCATCACATATCCATCACATATTCATCACATATCCATCACATAGCCATCACACAGCCATCACACAACCATCACATAACCAACACACAACCATCACACAGCCATCACACAACCATCACACAGCCATCACATAACCATCACATATCCATCACAGAGCCATCACACAACCATCACACAGCCCTCACACAACCATCACACAATCATCACATATCCATCACACAGCCATCACATAGCCATCACACAGCCATCACACAGCCATCACACAACCATCACACAGCCCTCACATAGCCATCACACAACCATCACATAGCCATCACATAGCCATCAGACAGCCCTTACATAGCCATCACACAACCATCACATAGCCATCACATAGCCATCACACAGCCCTCACATAGCCATCACACAACCATCACACAACCATCACATAGCCCCTCAATTAGCCATCACATAGCCATGACACAACCATAACATATCCATCACATAGCCATGACATAGCCATCATTTAGAGAAGCAGCAAAAAGGTGGAGGTTGCAAAGGAGCAAATATGTTCATCTGAATAACAGGCGAGGCGGCACGGTGGTGTGGTGGTTAGCACCGTCACCTCACAGCAAGAAGGTTCTGGGTTGGAGTCCGGGGGAACCAGGACCTTTCTGGGTGGAGTCTGCATGTTCTCCCTGTCTTTAGGTTCTCTCCGGGTTCTCCGGCTTCCTCCCACCGTCCAAAAACCTGCATGTTCCAAATTCCATTCCAAATTGCCCTTGGGAGTGAATGTGAGTGTGAATGGTTGTTTGTCCTTGTGTGTCTTGTGTGTGGCCCTGCGGACTGTCCAGGGTGACCCCGCTTCTCGCCACAAGGATTCTAACAGTAACAAATGTTCAGTTACAGTTCAACAGAAACACATCTCAACATCTTATTCATGTGTTTGAAGCTCCTTCAAGGAGGTGGTGATCTGAGGGCAAAGACTGGACCCAGCCTGGTAATATTCAAACAGCTTCCGGTTGAGTTAAAAAAAGCCTGAAAAGGTGTCCTGGTTCAGTTACAAGGTCAGATACAAGTGGCTTGATGAACCATCTAAACTGATTGTCAGGTAGACCAAACGTGTGCCACAGAGGACAAACAGCTTCCCTGTCTACATAACTACAGGGAACTCAGGAAAGTGCTGTAAGAACGGAAAAGACTTGAACTGAAATAATATTTACTGTTACCCAGGCTATCCAGCGGATCTTTGTCCTTCTCCCTCTGCTCTCGGGTTGGCTGGGAAACAGCAGTCCCAGCTGGAGACACATGCCGTCCATCACACTCATACAGAAGTAAGCAGTATTCCTTTCCAGCTGCAGACTGAGAGGTTCGGAACGCTACTGTAAGCACCAGTCAAAGCAGATGGATGTCTCTCTACTCTGATCCCATCTCTTCATTCATCCCTGGACTAAGAGCTGTCCACTCCACGTCTCCAAAAAGGTGAGAGAAAAAAACCCGCTCCGGATTGACTTTTGTTACCTCAGCTTTCTCTCTCCCTTCCTGTCTTCCTCTCAATCCTCTGCTGGTTATTTTTACTCCTTTGTCCTCAGGAAAACAGAACGGATCAAGTTCCGGGTCCATCAGCATTTTACAGGGGCCTACTGCAGCAGAATGTGAGGGCAAACATAGAAATCCAATCAGCCGGTAACACCGGTGACACGCTGATGACTCTCAGGCTTTGAAAGGACAATAAAGAAGCGTTTTGATAATGAGACAAAGCCCCAGATGAGGATCCATCATGAACATCCATCAACTCTAGGAACGGGGCCTTAGATTTTCCAACCCTGTGCCTCTGGGTGTAGCAATTCTTCATTAAATCTGTAATCAGTCCATATCATCAGACTGCAGATAGAAGTAGTGCAAAGCGCACTTATATTGAGTTAAGAAAAAGCTTGCTCCAACATCTGCAACACCCAGAAACATCTTTCACAGCAAGGTGGGATTTGCTTCTGGGAATGCCGTTTGCCGTCTCCATGAGTGTAACCAACCAACCAATGATCACACCCTCCACTGCATAATCAGGAGCTCTCAGACTGCTGGCAGCTCAGCTGACCCCCTGAGGAAACATGCTGGGTGAGGAATGGACAAAGTGCCACTAAAAAATAGAACTGGAATGAATTAATGATGTATATAATGATTCATATGATTGTGCACTAAACCCAATGTCCTGCTTGGGATTTGCTGTGTTTAAGGAAGACTTTTTGTTTTGTCAATTCCACTTATGGGCAAAGGTCATTTCAGATCATGCTGCTTATCCCCTGTGCATGAGTGTGTGATCACCCCGCTAAGCTACAAACATACAAACCCTCAATAAGCTTTCATTTCCTTTTGAACGGTAGAGTTTATCATTTTCATTTGTGAGTCCTGCAACAAAACTGTGTTTTTCGCCAGTTGACAGCAATCTCATATTTTCCCTTTATTATCAAAAGTTTCCAATCCAAACACATGGATAAAGCTTGACACACATTCAGACTGAACTTTTGTTCACCCAACATTCACACGCTTTGATTCTCCTCTCGGATACTCGTAAAAGCTGTCTTCAGTTTCAGTACAAATGAGGACTGAAAAGCCAGAAAAATAGAGATCTGACAGCAGGAGAGATTTTTCTTCAGAGAACTGCTACCTGTTGATTCTCAGGAGGGGGTTCCTCGTAAAAAAAAAGAAGCCTAGCCACATCAGATCAGTACAGCTGACACATTATTATTAACTGACTCATTCACGGCCCACCCGCCAGATGACAAAACTATCACACTTCCATTTCTGTACGCCCTTGACCAGCCGGCCACTGGGGGGGCATAAACCAGTCCTATCATCTGTTCTGTGAAAGGCAGAGACAAACAATAGTGCAGAATTACATTCACTGAGATGATCTATTTATAATCACTTTTATCTGTGGATGCAAACTCCCCACAGAGAGGTTCAGCTGGGATTTGAATCGGGGACCTTAATACTCTGAGGTGATGAAACCATTCAAATCCCCCTCTTTAACAGCCCAACCAGCTCCTGAACTTATGTGCCATCATTTCCCATGTATTTCAAATGAAAGCATCATTAATTAGTTCCTCAGTTTGCCTGGATGGTTCTCTGTGGCATGAGGGGGCAGTTGTTTTTGGCCTGGCTCGTAGTTATGCAGGCTTGGTTAGCTTTAGAGATGGGAGTGAGCAGTGAGGCGCTGTAGGGGGGTTTGTGGAATCCCCATAAGCAGCTGAGGCCTGTCAGGTGAAGGGGGGGGGGGACTGACCGGTGGGCAGCCCTTCTTGATGGTGACGCTGGGGGTGGTGGCCCTCAGAGCTCCGGTGACTCCGTGGTAGTACCTGAAGCAGACCTGGGTCTCCGCTGTGGAGCAAACAGAAGGCATGTTACCTCGTTTACTGATCATTAAAACGTATATGCTACTGTAGATACAGAACCGCTGCAGAGTGGAACAGATGGGCCGACCCGTCCTCAGTAGAGCAGGAACCTTTCACATATATAAGCTTTCAGAACAAATGGTCACTTATATTAATTCATTTGTTTTTAACTCTCAGTTTTAATAAGTTCATACACATATTTAGGTGCATTTATCAATCAAGTTCTATTGAAAATACTTGTGACAGAGTGGGGGGGGTTAGCCATCACTTGTGGACTGTAGTCCAAAGCAGGAAAAGCATAGAAAAATGTAAAAGGAGCCAGGGGACAGGTCATCGTGGAACTCCATTTTTTTCATCTTGTTTTGCCAGACACACAACAACATGAGGAGGGGGGGGGCAGCAACACTGCATGGAAGCTGCATGAGTGGTGAGTGATCCTGCAGCACAGTGGACACAGACACACAACTGCACACTTTTATAGGACTCCCCAACACTCCCATAATTGAACAAGTTCAAAGTTTCCCAAAAGACAGTAAACAAGCTTTAAAAAAGGTTAGATGCTGGGTAAAATGTGAATGTTTCTTTGCACTTATTTGCATATTTGTGGATACTGTGTTCCCTGTCAGTAGAACTCTGTGTGCATCCAGTGGTGCTGCACAGTGCTGCTCAAACTAAAACCAAAACCATTCAGGGCTCTTTGTCAGATTCAAAGCTTTTGACAGAGGGACGACTGGGACACGACGAGCAGTTGAGGTTTTACATGTTTCATTGTGGTTAGTTGGACTAACGCTATATTAGGTTTAGATGGACGATGCAAAGCGGGGCTGAATCTGCCACACACACCAGCTACACACAACACACAACACAACAGGAAGATTCTCAGAAGCAAACTCTCCAATCAACAAAACAAGCAACTTTCTTATTCGCTGACCATCCTGGATGCGTCCGGGGTATCTTATCTGGCTGGTAAACCAGCCTCAGATGCATTATGCAGGACCACAGTCCAGTCCAGCTGGAATCTATGCATCAACACTGCCAGTGGGGCAGAAATTAGGGCCTTGAGAGAGGAGCAATTAAATGTCTCGGTTTTTTTGTTGCTTTTTTCTATGCATCACTTTCTTTTAAATGAATTGATCAAAATGAATGCTTTAAAGTCCCAGCACCAGTTTTTAACGAGTAGCAAAGGAAGTGTGTAGCGCTGCAGCTTTACCCTGTTTGTAGCTTTGACTAGTTATTTTAAATTCTATCCCGGCTCTCTGCTGTTTATCTTGGACAGATGTTCGATGGACTTGACTCAGTTTAACAAAACTGTAACACTGTGAGATGCATCAAGCTAAAGTTTCTGCTAAATAAAGTTTGACATCTCTATTGTGAAACGAAACATCAGCTTGACTTCATGCTGATATGAATATTCCTTTTCACGTGTGCAAACCATCTCCCTAACTTACACACTTACACTTACTGTCTCCTCACTAATATGTCCGTGTGAGCGGGCTGCTCCTCTCCCAGACACTGCTACAGTACTGTGGCCTCTCAGGCAGCATCAGAGAATGCGCCTTTTCATCTGCACACACACTGTCCTACAGCTGGAAGAATACATCAACATGTACTCAGCTGGAAGAGAAAGGAAGGCCTTTCAGTTCTGTGTGGTCGTACAATTCTCACAAACCAGTGCACACTAAACACTACACACTAAATGTTACATGACCCAAAATCAGTACCGTTTCAGCTGAGGACCAGGATCAGGAGTAAACCCAATGATTAAATGCAAGTCTTTGAGTTGCCGTTGTTGTTTTTGTCTAAATAACTGATTAGTTATCACTTCTTTGTGTGATGAGGGGATAGTGATGACCACAAAATCACACTTCACGGCCCTAAAGGATCTAGATCAGATGTGTGCCTGTTTTTTTACTGGTCAGAATGTGAGGGGTCTTGTATTTGTGTGTGTGTAGGTGTTGTTTACTTCTATTATTAAGCCATGCAACACTGATGTGGTGTGGGGGCTTGCACCTCCTAACATACAGACACAGGTACAGTTTCAGAGTCAGGCTGAAAGCAGAACGCCACCTGATTGGCCAGCTCGATGAATCATGAAAGCGACCCCTCCAGTTTTAGACGGCAACAACAAACACCCAGTTTCATTATTTCTGCCAACACCGAAGTTCAGACAGGATTTCCTCTTATCATGTATACACACACAAATACATACATATCTAAATATGTGTGTGTAAATATACAAATCCATATGTATACACATTGATATAGATTGTTGACCTGCCTGTGTTGAATACAAATGATCCACATGGGCCGGTCAACTGGTCTTTCTGTTAGGAGCTCACACAAAATGGAAAACTAGCGGAACCGAGTCCTGGCAGGGCCTGTAGCAGCGAGCAGGGCTGATGGTGGAGAAACCCCCATGCTCTAATTCATACAGCAGGGGAACAAACCATCCAAAACAGAGAGAGGTTTCTTTAGTCTTTGTGTTAGTTACTTACAGTCGCTGAAGTGGGAATGGCAGTCAATTTTCCAGACTATCTGTCCATTGTGAGATCCATTGACGCCTCGGTTCTTATAGTCCAGAAAGTTTTCAGACAGAGGCTCATCTAGAAAGAAGGATGAGACTCATTAGAGGACAGAGCTCCTCCATATCAAGAACCATTTAAGTCAATGTTTTATTCTCATCTGACTATAGTCTATTAGAATATAAGTATAAAATGTGTTTTTATTTTGTTTTAAGGGATAGAAATTCCCTGATTCTCTGGAGACAATGAGAAGTTTCTAAATACAAGACATGAACAAATGGTTTAAGCATAAAATATGTTTCATATCCTTACTTCTAAGACATTATCAGGTCAGGAGTAAACTTTGGTAAATCTAATGGACTTTGCATCTGTTGGCCTCTCCTTATGCTGATAGTTGCATTATCTTATTATATTTAAGAGACTGCTGTTGCCACCTTAATGCTTGATGTAAAAACATCACTTACACCTAAAGCCTCTGCTCACAGCAGAACTGTTTGAACAGCTCTGCTTTGACTGGCTGTATGGAGTCAGATCCCACTCACCAATAAGATACATTCCAATCCAGTCCCCGGCATCCACGTCCTCTTTGATGTCCCAGGTGATGACCAAGCCCTCGGGCTGGCCCATGGTGTAGTGGGAGGAGCTGACGGTGAGCGTGGAGCGGGCGTCCGGGGACAGCAGGTCGGTGTCGCTGGTGGAGCGGGGCAGGCCCAGCAGGAAGGCGTCCGGGTCCAGGGCGCTGACCGCGTAGGCCTCCGGCCCGCAGCTGTGCCGCGCCACGTCCTTACAGCGCTGGCGGGTCTGGCCGCCGCGCGTCGGGGAGGCCATGGCAGCCAGGCTCAGAAGCCTATTCTGGTACAGGTTCTGCAACAGCAGGATAATACAGCGGGAGGATTTCAGCCAGAGGAAAAGGGCAGAAAGCACGGCTACAGGAGAGGACCTGCGGGCGGTGCCGGTTCTGGACTTAACCAGCTAGCTCTGCAAAACAGTCAAGCATCAGTTATTATTGTTTCTAACATTTTGGACGGCTAAAATGTTTAAAACCACGTCACACACGAGAAGGTTTGTGACGTGGTTCCACAAGTTCCAGAGAAAACATTGTGGGTTATTTTACTCACTCAAAACATAAAGAAATGCAGTAAATTCAGAAATGGATAGTCTCTTAATCATGAATAAGGAACACATACAGAAACTGGATGGATGGATGGATGGATGGATGGAGGGATGGATGGATGGATGGATGGATGGATGGTGCTGTGTTTAGTCCCCCCAACTATGTTTTATTTCTAAATTTGCGTCTCAACATCTCAGAACTGACTGGGCTTACTGTTTGTTTTTAACTGAGTTTATTATATGAAAGTCATTTTCACAGTTAAGGACCAGCAGTAATGTCTCCTCTTTGTTTCTGTGTGTGCTACATGGTAGAAATGCTTTGTTACATTCAGATTTCCCTTAATTTTCCACTTCAAGTTAAATTAGTCTCTGCTGGAACAGTATGTTGTTATTTCTATAATCTGTTTGATTGTTTGCTACTATTAAATATTAAAATCTCGACCATTAAAACTATTTTTCTGTTTTATCTGTTTTCTGTTTGATCCAAATGTTCAGAATAAATTCAGTCTGCGTGTATCTTATGGCCCTAAAATGAACCTGTTTACAGTTCTTCAATCTAAACAAACACACAGATGTTTCTTTATTGTAGTAATCATAATTAATTTGAAAAAATCTGGATCAACTTCTCCAGTATGTACACAGAGCTGGCCAGACCCAGGGAGAGCTAACGGCCTGTTCAGGGTGGGCACTTTGATCGTGTTAAGTTGCAGCATCATTAGCAGCAAATCTGACTTTGAGGGAGGGAGTGGAGCATGCTGGGAGCTCAGATCAGATCTGGGAATGCTCCAGTTAGAAAGCAGCTTCAGGCCACGACTCTTCCAGCCGTAACTGATGACTCTAAATGCTGAAGCAGGGTGTGTGTGCACTCTGAAGACGCACAATTATCTGCATGCACAGGGCTCTGTTCTCACGTGCATGCTTGTGCCACCAAGTTATTTGAATATGAATAAAGAACACTATCATTCAGTCACGACTGCTGCTTTTTCTTACAGAAAAGCTACACGCTGCATTCAGGTTAAGTCTGAATGAATAGAACAAGTTCTGCAGTTAAAACGAAGTCTTTTCCACACACACACAGCCCGTCCGTTTCTCAAAACGCTTTACAAACTACCGGGAGCTGCATGGAGGTGAGAATACAATGTGCAGGGTGGTAGGACGGCAGAGAGGAGGGGGGGGCACTACTGACCTTGAAACTACAGAGCTGCATCAGCATAATGACCAGTCAACCCAAAGCAGACCAAAACCTGAGGGAGGGAAGTGGGAGGAGAAGGGGGGGGTGTTACAACCACAGGAACAAAAAGCCCAAGCAGCGAGAAGCAGCAGATGAGAGGCAGGTATGGCCGCTCTGCCCGTCAGAGGAGAGCCAAAAACCATCACCGTTCACAGCTCATCTCTGTCACATCCAAATATGAACAACCGAACAGGAGCAGAAGCACAGGAGGACAGACAGGAGGAAACAGAGGGACAAAGACAAATGAGGAACATAGAGACACCACAGGACATCCACCGATGGTCAACATGAAACAGCAACAACAGCATCCAATCAGCCTGCATGTGCACCTATAGACGGTCACATGATCAGTCCTGCTGCAGTGCAGGCAACCCTGCAAGAAAAAAGCACATTTGCAAGAAATTGACTGTCTTTAAGTGTTTGTGAGACACATTTTCTCGTGAACATCACAATAAGATCAGAGGACTTTTAACTCATTCAAACACGACGCAGCTACAAAGTGAATAAAGGGTTCGTTCATGCATTTCTTTGCCAAAAAAAACAACATTTTCAGTCAGTTCTATTTTTAGATAATGAGTAAAACAGCACAAACAACATTTAGGTTTCCATCCACCAAGGAATCCATTGTCTTATCCTAACTAACCACCAGGGGGAAAAAAGCATTAGTCCACACAAGGAAAACAAAGAACTCCTCCTTGGGAGTTATCTCCTGGGGAAATATTTCAGATGTGGGAAGGGATTCATTATTTTAATGGCCCATCTAGCTCCTCTCTGTCAGGACTGTCACAGTCATCACAAATATCTGAGGGCATCCCAATCATGGTTATATCTGTGACCAGATTTACTATTTTAAAACAGCAAAATAACAATAAATCCTCCATTTCCCGTCCTTGGTTGTTTATGATCCCTGAAAAGCAAAAATGTAAATTATTAGGAGATCTAAAAGACTGCTGATGCTACCATTTGGCACTTTGACTATCAGCTAGTTTGAACTTTTGAAACAGCCAATGACAACATCTCTGCTGACAGACCGTCCAATCGGAGGGTGGCAGAGAGATGACCGCCACAGCTTCTGTCCAGCTGAACATGTGGCTGAGGTTTGTTTTTTTACATGGACAAATACAATGTGTTTCAGTCCATCCACAGAAAAGAGATGTCATGGAAACAGATTTCTATTTATGGTTACTTTGGAACTCCAGTGATTGTTTAAACACTTAAAAAACAAGTTTGATAAAAACTGAAATTTACAGTCGAAACTGTCAAAGTCTGAGGAAGTGATTGGTTTATTTGTGGTTTGGTTAGTTTGGTCCAGACAGTTCCACATCGAGACAAACATCTGCTTAAAACGCTTGTTTTGCCTGTATAGTTTAAGATGTGAGTCTAAAAATTAAACCTAAGCATTTAAAGTCATTTATTGCTTTACCACTTCTCTTTTAGGTGAAACACACTGGGATTGTCTGGGGGTCTGATGACTGGTGTCATTACAAAATTACACAGCAGGCATTTATTTTGAAAGACAGAGCAGTTTCTCTTTTATCTTATATTTGGTAAATCTATTGTGTTATGTGCAAACTAAAATAAAGAGTTCTAGGATTTCTATATTAGGAGTTTGTATGGGTGATGAGTGGACAGATTAAGATTGTGTAGTCTGTGGCAGAATTGTGAGTTAAGAGTATAAAAGGCTTAAAAAATGCTGCTCCTGCTACATTTCCTAATTTCTAATGACTGCTTTATATTCTCTGTAATTAACGGTTTCCCAGCTCTGTTCAGCTCATTGGCCTGAGCCCAAACTGATTAGTACTTTCAAGATACTCAACAGTTGTTACTCGGTTATAGTGATATCGGCCTTTAATTGGCCTTTAGTTAGACTCCTTTTCAGATCTGTGTTTTCCTCTGCTGATAGAACTCATTACTTATGCTGGATAAGATGACAACGTGTGTCAATGGTCTAAAAAGAGGAGAGCAATGTTTTTAACGTGTGTTTTTAATGTATTTCGTCTGATATTGTTCTCATTGTTTAATCACTTTGTCTAATTTTCATCAGCCTTTTTTAATAAAGTAAGTCACTGACAAACAGTTTGGAGTGTACAAAGAATACCTAAAATGAAATAACTGAAGAATTCTGATCCGACCGTGTTTGTTTTGTAGCGCCACTTAACCGATTTCAGTCAGTCGACAGGAAGATGTCCACCTGAGGCATCCGCACAGAGCAGAGAGCCACTCCAATTACAGGCAAGATGGACAGAAAGCAGACGTCAGCCCTGGAGGGGAGGTGTGAGAGCCTTTTCTTAGAAGGCCTCTGTGTTTTTGATCACACTGGGCCTCTGCATACACACATGGATCCAGCAAAGTTCCTCTGAACGGAAGGAGACAAGCGAGCCAACACAATGTGTTTGACACAGAGCCGTGGAATGAGCTCCAAAACTAGCAGTTTTAGTGATAAGGAGCAGGTAAAGAGCTGAGCAACCGCCCCCCCCTGCCCTGGAAGGGAACCGAGCCAGTGTGGATTTTTTTCATCCCATTTTACTGAAACAAAAATGGAAAACATTTCCTTTGAAAAAACCTGAATGAGACCCCAACTAAATAACTAACACAGGAGGTGTGAGTAAAAACACACAGCAGTGTAAATAATCAGGCAGATAATTGCAGGGGCATG